AGGAGAGGGAAGATAGGGTTTCATGTCTAGTGGAGAACAAAAGGTAGGAAATTGAGGTAGAAGTCTCCCCCACGCCAACCATATCACATTTTTTAAATTTCCAGAATGGGCCAATATAGTAGAGGATTAGGGGGAAAACTTGAAACAAAATAAAGTTATCCTGAGTTCAATCCTTAGCATACCAACTCAGTATTTAATGTTAGAGCTCTCATTTCAGACCTGACATGGGTAGTAACTCCAGTATTCTACTCTGTGGTTAGAATGAGGACACGGTCTGATTGGGGCTCAGCCTAATGTGTGAATTGTATGTGTGTGAATTGTGAAGCTAGACTATTAATAACCTTGTATCAACTGACCTAAGCCAGCTAATTTCTATCTACCTGGAACTTTGTGGATCTTTAGCTGTCTCAGGGAAATCACATGCATAGATTCCATTGTGTTTCAATTTGTCATGCCATACCATATATGAAAGTCACTTATAGGACCTGTGTTACTTCTTGCACACTCAGGAGACTTGGCTTTTAAGCCTGAGAAGATAAACCAAAGATACTGTGCCCCAAAAGCAGCTGACATGTTATTCTTGCCATATTTTACCTCCTACTTGTTTTGGCTTGACAACACTTGCCTTCAACTTGCCTGTTCCAGGTCATTTGAAATCCCTGCACAGTTCCTAACCCATCTGTGTTACTTTCAGTTTCTGCTGTATTTAGGTTCCTTGACTGTGTGGATTTCTCTCCTTTTCCACTTTGCTTCTTAAAAGTTTAAATATAGACCGAGATTCAATCTTGTGACCTTCTCACTGGTTAACCTACACTGGTCAGATGGAAACTTCCCAGAGTGTGCTCTTTGGCTGACTGGCTGTTGTGTCTTCCTTGCCTGTACCTTGCTTGACCTGGCTTCCTGACTATCTGACTTGGTAAACACTCTCCCATATATGTCAGAAGTATTTCTCAAATCTAGCACTTAGCAAATATCAAGAAGTAACCACATCAGTCAGAATCAATGAACTGGGGGTGCCCGGGTGGCTCAGTGGGTTAAGCCTCTACCTTCGGCTCAGGTCATGATCTCAGTGTCCTGGTATTGAGCCACATGTCAGGCTCTCCACTCAGAGGGGAACCTACTTCCCTTTCTCTCTCTGCCTACTTGTGATCTCTCTCTCTCTCTCTCTCTGTCAAATAAATAAATAAAATCTTAAAAAAAAAGAATCAATAAACCCCTTTGATAATTTGCATTCATTATGTCAGATTCTTTTTTAGTTACATTTTCTTGGTGGCAAACAGCAGGAGCTTAACTTTTACTAGCATAAACAAAGTTATTGATATAATTTGAAGAGGACTGGAACTGATGAATAACTTGATCTAACAACTTAAATTTTTCAGTGTTCTCTCTATTGGCTTCTAGCTTCTCTACAATTAGCTTTATACTTCCCTCTTGCTTTAAACTGACTTTCTCCATATAGAAGAGAATGTAATATAAAACGCAAACCATTTATATTTCATAGTTTGGGCCACCTAAGAGAGATTGATTTTCTGCTAAGTCACCAGTTTGATTTAGGGGTTCAATTAAATAGAATACCCAATATGGAAGGAGATTGTGTATACAGCAGGACAGTACACATTGTAGAGATAAAGCTTAGAGGAACAACAAAAGTAACTAGAGAATTGGTTTGTATTAAGAATCTGAACCACACTTGATCAAACTGGCATGGACTCACATGATTTCAAAAGTGAGAAAAGAAACAGAAGCCAGGATGACCCAAGGGGAGATCTGAAATTAACAACTGGTGAGAAGAGCACACTCATGGGCCAGACTTAGAATTCGACTGCATTCTGTCACCACTTGGGATTTTTATTCTCTGCTGATACGTGCCATTGAGAACCTTAAGGATTCCAAGAAGCTTCTGTGAAAATAGTCTGGAGAGGACTGTGAGGGTGCTGGAGCCAAGATATGGGAGATCTGATCTTCTGAGAGCCGGATATAGCAGCCCAGTGGGATACAGAACAGCCAACCATGACATCTCCTTGATGATCAAGCCAGGGGTTTGCCAATGTCAGATGTATGTGCTGTGTCTGTGGATTCACACATTCCATACATTCTGTTTCTTCGTGACTTTAATATATACAGGCATTAATGGGGGATTCTGGACCTTTCTAAGTACCAGAAAGGAGCAATGAGCTGTCCACATAACATAGATCGTACTTTACAACATCTAGAATCCGCGGTTATGGAATAATCATTATTTTGTAAAAGCTGGACAGTTAAGAAATAGGGGCAGGTTAAGGAAAGAAAGTGACAGTGGATATTGGAAAAGTAGTCACAGTCTTGTTGGCACCAGAGGAGATTTTGGAGTTATTCTAGAAATGTTCTCCTGAGCTTACAAAGAGGCATGACTTTCCTTTATACCTGCACCTATACTTTGTAGCTACATTTAGTCAATAATTCCTAAGTATTTAATGAGATCCTTCAGTATACCCAAGTGCTGTGAAGAACTCTAGGAAAGTATACAATCCTTGTCACTTTTTAAATATAGAGTTCGATTAGAAGAACCAAATCTACATATATGAAACAGAAAATAGCAGCATAAACAGATGAAAGTGATAAATGGCATCATGTAAGAAAGGGGTTTTCATACAAAATTTATTCCTAGACAACATTAATGTAATTTATAACAAGAAAAACAAAAGTAAGATGGGTTGAATTCAATTGATGCATAGTTATTGATTAAACTGTAATAGATAGTAGGGGAAAATATAAATATTGGGTGTGATACTTGGAAAACTTTTAGTCTGGTCAATGAGACAAGGCCCAAATGTTTTGGGTCATCCTGGGAACCAATTAGAAAGCATAGAAGAGAGGGAGTCAAAACTGAAACACAGACTAGGAGGACCATTCCAGCATCACCAGATTGCTTTCAATGTCTGGCACATGCAAGACCCTATGGAGCCTGTAGAGTGGCTTTGCTTTGCCTCAGTTTCATATGCTGCTCTAACTAGAGATCTTCAATCACTGCAGGACACTTGCAATGAGCCACCTAGATACTGAGATGAGGGGGCAGCTTAGGGTGGAAAAATGGATTTTGAGGTCAGAAAGGCCAATGTTAAATCTAAGCTCTCATTTTCTCTGAGCCTCTGTTTTCTCACTTATAATGTGGGTATAGTGATAGTGATGCTTCATAATAAGGTTTTGTGGAAATTAAAGAGGATATGTGTGCACATTCTTATACATGGGCAAGTAATATCGATTTAATAAATAGTGCTTCACATGGTCTAATCTTTAGTTTTCTTTAGTGCAATTATAGTCAACAACATAGCATTGAAATCTCTGGCACATAAACTGTTCACAAATCATTTGGTAATATATTCTTACAGTAGTTCATCTTTAGGGACAGTAATAATAATGTTTAACATTTAACATTTCTGAAATTTAAGTTTACAAAGCATGTGAAATATATCACCTCACTTATTCTTCAAGCAACGCTTTCAGAAGGTGATCATCTCCATTCCCATTCTACAGAGAAGGAAAAAATGAGGCAAAGGGAGTTAGAGTAATTGCCCCAAGATCATACCATCAAGAAGTTGCTCAGTCCCCAACACATATAATCAGGAGGTTGCCAAACCAAACTCAAGCCCAGGTTTTCTGACTGTAAACCTCGTGTTCTTTTCCCTACACCACAGGCCCATAAGCACTGTGTGAGTATGTGTTTGGGGCTGGGGTTTTTTTTGGTGGGCTCCAGTGGAAACTGTCTTTCTCCTATTCACCCTAAGGTACTTGCTTTTAGGAGTTAATGAATAAACTGTGAACATCTAGCTGACCCACCATGTAGATATGTAGACCAGGGTCCTACTCTTAATGCCCAGTGTGTTGTGTTAAAACATGGAATTTTGTTTTGTGAAATCTGCTGGATTGCCATTTGTTTTATCATTCTATTAGGATTCCACAAGCACAGATTGACATTAAAAAGCTGTTAACTCTGTTAATTCCAGAGGGCACAGCTAATGAAATGTCCCAAAAGTTGAGTACTTGCCAAAGCCACCGTGTCTTATAGGACAGCTCTTGATTAATCATGATGAGAGTATTTCCTCTATCTAAATGAAATCTGCAATTTGGGAAGGAGATTAAAGATCCTGCAGGGGATGAAGGAGAAAATGCTGTGAAAATTCTAGAAACTAGGAAATAAAGATAGGTCTACTCAATATTCATGAAGTCAGATTGGTGGATGCAAATAGATTGCAATCTCTTATTTGCTAATAACTTGGCTTGTAGCACTTCTGTATCAGTTTTACACAGTTTCCTGCTCAACTTTAAAGAGAATGACTGCAGTTTGTACTAATTTCCTTTTTAAAAAAATTAGCATACCCAATATGATTTTATGCCATCTTTGATGAATTTTAATTTCCTCTTGAAGGATTTCTAAGGTATGTGTTCAGAAATGCATACATGACCAAAGATAGGATAAAGAGTACATAATAGGTAAGCATCTGTAAGATTTCAATGAGTGACTCGAGAGGAAAAAAAAAAAAAAGATGTCAATGAGTGAACCTGTTTTCAACATATTCTAAAAAGGCAGTTTAAAGAGAAGGATTACAAATGCTGGCTTGGGTTTAAGTTTGCTGCCATGAGAGAGAAGTTAAATTTATTTGTACAGCTATTTTATAAGGAAATGCTATATGTTTTTAACTGTCACCCAATTTATTAGAAATTCTTACCTCATATGCAGCTCAAATCTTCACCTCCTACTGCTGAGCAGAATTCAAGAGAAAATGAGTAGAAGTGCAACTGCTTACTTCATTTCATCATATAGCAAATGCAGCAAACACATATTTGAAGGAGGAGGTTGTAGCAAACGCCAGGGTATTTCATGTATCCCCCAAAACCCTGACACAGTGCCTGTACAGTTCCTCAAGAAATGCTTTTGAACTCTGTTAAATCTGTTTAACAGATCCTATCTCAAAATAGACTACTTTTTTATTTAATTTGTTTTTTCTGTTTCTCTTTTTCAGGCCAGCCCTGCTCCTATAATTGTCAACACAGATACTTTGGACACGATTCCTTATGTAAGTAACATTTTTATAAGATTTTCTTTACAAATTATGTTAGAACTTAATCAGCTAAATATAAAATTCAGTACATATTCAGTTTTACCCAATCCAGATAACCTGAACTGTATAGAATGAGTTTTTTGAGTTTTGTTTTGATATCTGTTAAATCTCAGCTTAGTCATGCAAATAGTTACCTCTTTCATTCACTGTTTTCTAAAGCACAAGGACACATCATGAGAAAAGGAAAAAAAAGAAGTCGATTATATTCAAATAATGTTAGTTTCCTAAGTGTTTTCCTGAAAAAATAATGAATTGCTTATAGAAGAGATGGATAAACTTTTTTGGGTCTCTTAGTAAAGGGATACTCAAATCAATTTCTGTGGCAGGGCTTAGAACATAAGTAAGCTATCAATAAATATTTAATGGGTTTTGCTGGGCTTCTAAAGAAGTTGTAACAAATTTTGGTGAGAGGTGGTCTATCTATATATAATGAGACCTGTGGTTTTATGAAAGCCTGAAGCATGAGATAGGTGTGAAGATCAAGCAGGGCAGTAAAGTTTGGGATTCTGTACCTGAAATACGCCACTATAAGGGCCAAACTTCTTGACAACAAAGTCTGGCAGGGGCAGGAGAGATTGGGGGGTGGCAACAGTCCACAATGTGGGTAAGTGATTGACATCATGGAGGCCCAACAAGGCTTTCTGAGCTGCCCTGGCTAATGGATAGAGAATAGTGATTGGGGAAGATGCGACAGACACAGATGCATGCAGAGAGAGAATTTGAAGCAAGGAGAAGGACTGCAGGGATAACGGATGAGAACAGATTCCTAGTCTTTGATTAAATGAATAAAACTAGTGAAGCAATTGAAAGTGTACCTGGCGCAAAGGAAATGCTTGGTAAGCATCAGCTATTCTGAATCTCGGACTCCCACTCAACCTCAAATGCCTACACAGAGCAAGTAACACAGAAATACATGAGGCAGAGGGCGTGGGGACGGTAGGAAATAGAGAGCACGTGGCCTTCCAAAGGGGGCAGCTGCCACTTGGCTCCAGTGGGTGGTATCAAGGGGGAAATGAGGACCAAATGCTGCCAGGTCATCCCATTTTTCCAGAGAAGTTGTAAATTTGAATTTTTATGTAAATTTTTGGAATTTTATATACAGGCAGCTGATTTTCTGAAGTTCATACACGGTGTGCCAAAATGTGTCCAGTCCCGAGGCTGCCCTTTGGGAGGTGTCTGCCTCAAAGGAACTGGAGATCCTGAGCAGGTCCTCCAGGCCAGGATTCACCCCCAGGGGAGCAGAATGCTAGAACTGGAGTACAAGGTTGGGACTTGATTACAGGAACAAGTGACTAAAACTGGGACACAGGGTCAGGACAGGAATAACAGCAAGCTTGACTTGATGCTGACTCACCTGAGCTACTGAGCTTCTTAAATTTTTCTGAACAAGAGTCATTTAGGGTCAGACAAGAAATGGGTTAAAAGCTCACTGGTAGGAATCAGCGGCCCCAGCTGAGGAAAGAAAAGGACTCAGAAGGCAGCAAAGCAATACGTTAAAGACACATAGAATCCACTATTCTATCTCTTACTCTCCCTATCTTCCTTCATTTATCAAACATTTATACTGGGATTACAGTACATCTGACACTAAGCGCTTGACAAATATTAACTCAATCCTTAAAACAACCCTATGAGATAGGTTCTATTACTTTCTCTATATTATAGGTAAGAAAACTGAGTCATAAAGCGATTAAGTAACTTTTTCAAGTTTGCATTAGTGGCAGAGCCAAGAATGAACCTGGGTAGACTGGCTAAAGAGTTTCAGGTCTTACTTAACTCCTGTCATGTAGTTGCTTCTGTTTCCTTCTCCCCTCCCTTATTTTCTGCCTCTCAATGTGGGAACAAAGCATGCTTTCTCCTCTGCCATAGGTGGCTTTGGGTGGAAGACAACTTGTCACAGAGGCTCCAATACCTTTGGGGTACGGAACCATGTATATTAAGGAATTCTGTATTTATACTCTAGTTAGTTTTTTGCTATATCCATTGGCAAAAGCAGATGAGCAGTGCTTTAAAGTAGGCATTAAACACAGAGACTTGATTTTGTAAGTAGGACTGCTTTCTTGTGGTAGATCTGTATTATTTCAAAACCTTCTATTAGGATTCTCATGCCTTAACTGCCAGATGCCCTCATGTACAAATAATTTATCAATAGAATCTAAGGATTTTGTGTAGACATGCTTGATTGATAACCCAACTAATCGGCTAGTAAAATCAGCCACATATAACAAATTAATCAAATTGCTTTCTATTCCCTAAATACCGACTTTGTACATGACTTCTTCATGGCCTTCTTCAAAGGGCCTTTTATTTTTTAATCATTTTTTAGTTGTGTTACCTTAGTCACCATAAAATACATCATTAGTTTTTGATGCAGTGTTCCAAGACTCATTGTTTATGCACCATACCCAGTGCTCCATGCAATATGTATCCTCCTTTATACCCACCACCAGGCTCACCCATCCTACCATGCCCCTCCCCTTTAAAACCCTCAGTTTGTTTCTCAGAGTCCACGATCTCTCATGGTTTGTCTCCCCCTCCGATTTTTCCCCCAGTTCAATTTTCCTTTCCTTCTCCTAATGTTCTCCATGTTATTCCTTATTTTTTAATCTTTAATATTTTTGTACTTAATGCAAAACCTCTTTGAGCTTCCTTAAGAGTAGGATCTTTAGAGAGGTTTGCTGAGTAGCTCAGTATGGTGAAAATGTCCCAAAGTGTCCCCTGGCAATGTGTTCTTCAGCAACTCATTTAATTTTTCTGGATCCAAATTAATCTTTAAGACAGGAATTACAACACCTACCTCAGAAGTGGGTGTGGGGATGAAATGAAATTATGTGTGCAAAATCATGCTTTGTTAACTTATGATTCATAGGTGTTTATTTATAATTTTATTTAAATAATAAAAACTTATTAGGTAACACATGCTAGATCCTGAGAGAATGGTAAATATGACTGTCTTTCCCCATATGTGAGTACATCATTTATTAAAAATGGCAAACTTAGTACATAGCCATTAATGTAGATATACTTTGGGTCTTGGCATGGGTCCAACTCTCCTCTTTGTTCCTGACTCACTGGGTAACCTTGAACAAATCACTGTTCCATTTGCAGGCTATTTTCTCATTCCCCAGTGTTCTATACTTTGTTTTCCTCTTTTCTTTCTCATGTTCTAGTTGTTCACATAATTTCAGATCTATTTAATGAAAAAATGATCTCAGAGCTCCCCAGAGCATTTCAGTCATGTTGCATAAGAACATTTCCTTTTTTTAACAATATTACCTAAATGACAAATAACATATATTACCATCTTTCTTACAAATAATTTCATTGCAAGTAAACATATTAATTTTGCCAATTAGCAAGTTTGATTTTAGAAATACATTGTCCTCATGGAAACAATTCCTTGGCATGCATGCAAACAGCATATGAATAGAGGAAATCTGTGGTCAAAGGACATTTTTAATAAAGGCACAAAAAATATTTAAAGAGATATCTGCCCTTTTTTTAGGACAGTAAGTTAAGGGTTATTAGAGCTTCTAAAGTGTCTGTCTGCCATTAACAAAGAAGGGGTCAGTGAGGTTCTTATGTAAAAATGCTTCAAATAAACTCATTCCTGCATGATGTCATGATATTGTAAGGTTGAATAGAACCTTACTTGCGGTACAGTCCCCCCTCTCTTGCAAAGCTGGAACCCCTACATGAAGATTAAAATCATTCAAGGAAAAGCAAAGAAAGAAAAAGCAAATTGCTATTTCAACACTGTAGTTTACATTTTTCCCTCCATCTTTTTATTATTCCCTATTACATGTTAAATATCATCTTATGATAGATGCTGAAAATACTTGTTCTTAGAGAGTTCTGGGGGATTGGAGCCTGCATATGATCTGTATGTCTACATCCCTGAAGACTGACTTAGTAAAAAGGTAGCATGACGCCCTCTCAGTACTCTGCAGCCAATAGACACGGAGGCCTCCTCTCCTGACATACTTTGCCCCTCAGTAGACCTGTCAGACTCCTATACTGAACAGCATCCAAACCAACCCCAGTCTTTCTACTTTAGAAAAATAAAATTGAGCAGAGAGATTCTAGGATCCTTTTCTCTTCATTCTTCTCTGGACATCATTTCATAGTGGTTATATTTTGACTTGTTTTCTGGAAATATGCTGTGGGAAGTGGTATACTCAAGAACCATGAGTTTTTAATCTTGTTAAGGAACTTGGGATCCAATGAATGCAAACCTCTCATTTTACAGATACAGATATTCGAGCCCAACCAGTAAATGGTAGAGCTTGGTCTATCATTTACTTTTACTCCACGTAAGAGTCAGTTTTTGGTGGGCAGCCAATAACCACATAATCAGTGGCTCATAACAATAAGTATTTATTCTCCTGGAAGTGTCTGCTGGTTGGCTGGGCCAGCTGCTTTAGGCTGCTGGTTACCAGGTTAGCTAGGGCATCTCTGCTTCACATGTTTCATTCAGGGGCCCAGAGGGGGGACAGTACTACCCAAAGGATATTCTTTTCATTGTGATGGCCAAAGCACAAGAGGACAAGCCCAGGGCACAAACACAGTTAAAAGCTATGTTCACATCACATCTACCAACACCCCACTGGGCAAAGCAAGTCATATTGCCAAACTCAAAGTAGAAGAAAGAGTGACTATTTGCTAAATGAAAAACAAAGTTACTATACCAAAGTCTTAAATAAAAGGGCTAAGAATTTATATATGTCCTTTGTAAGGAAAGCAGGTACAAAAGAACGAATCTTATGCTTTAAAAATATTAGTAGGTCAATGATAATAAACAATTGAAGTGTCAAAGGGACCTGGTTCAACTGATATGGGAAGTGAGTGTCTAGATTCTTAAGGATGTTTAAGGGAAACTATTGAGATATAAAAGAAAACTCTAGCAAGTACTGACAATATAATGACCTTACTTTTCTTTGAGACACTTTGTTGTC